CTAATAGCAGTTAAACATGTGTGTAGCCTTTTTTTTTCTGTGTTTTCAATTCCATAGATGGAGGCAAGTAATATCCTTGTTTAATGAACCCTCGCATTGAGATATTCCCCATGTTTAAGATCTAAATCATTTTTAGCTTTAGCGCATTTCTACTTAAGGGTGTTGATCAAAACTTCGACAAACAAAATTCGAAATATTTAAGATAAAAAAGGCAACCGGCCATGACTTTGATTTGATGGTGGTACAACAAAAGAACCTAAAAAAAAAAAAAAACAAGAGTTCGATAGAACGTGAATGAGTGGCTTAATGTTACAAGTACAAAAAGTGGAGGACGTGCCAGAACAAAGGATGAATGAAATGCAACGTCAAGTATTACAAAAGGAATGGAACAGTTTTCACCACAACCTTCCTTGAGCTACAAAAAGTGCCAAGATAATTTTCATCAATTGTGCCAAACCCCGATAACTGGATGCCGTACCCTGCCAACTTCTTGATATCCCTTGGAAGTGGGGATTGCCAAAGGCCATCCCACCATGCCGGAGGGAGAAGCGGTGTGAAAGCACATTGATTAGGCTGGTTATGACACCCAAGGGGACCTGCAAATCTGTTCCACACATGCCCCCAACCAATCTGAAATCTTAAACCTTCTCTCAACAAATCACCTTGAAAGCTGCTTAAAAATGCAAATTTAGAACCAGTTGGTCTGTCGCCTGCGAAAGATAGAATAGAATGAACATTACAACACTTGAGGTTTGAGCAACATTTGTTAAAGGAAATTATCCAAACACTATATGTATGCATGTACCAAGATTGTTTGCTGCAGCCAGTGCTGCAATTAACTGTGCATAAGTCGTCCCAACACGCCTGTGAGCCCCGGACACAACAGCATATTTTGCACGTGATGCAAGAAAGAAGTCTACAAAGGCAACCCATCTGGGCGCTGGGCCCCAATCTCTCATCCTAAAATCTAAACTGTGCAATCCCTTTCTGCTATCAGATATATTTCCTTTGAAAAGTTCATAATCAAAATGAACGACCTAAGAAAACCACAATTCAATTAGAATCAAAAGGACACAATTCGATTGTTAAACAATTTGTAAAAAAAGAAGAGATTCTCAAAGTATTTAACTCGTTTGGGTGAAAGAAATTAAGGCTGCATTCCTGACTACAGATTTAAATGAGAACAAAGTTATATAGAGTTACACAATGTGTGGCCACAATGCTGATTATAAAATTCATAATTTCATGAGTGTTATACAATGCTGATTATGCAGTATAATTTGTAACATGCCAGTGTAGAAGTATATTACCTCTGCAAATTTACTTATATTTGGTGTAATACTTTTCACAAGAGAGGGAGTATCTGACACTATGACTACCCGGGGTCTTGGTGACTTGCCAAGATTTTGCTTAACTTTTCTGATGCAGTTCAATGCTGCCTGTGCAGCTCTGATAGACCTGGAAAACACGAGGCAAAAACCTGCATCATTAATAAAACTCAGAGGAGTGTCGAGTGTGTGTGAAAGCTTTCTGATGCATGCATGCACGTTACAATTGGTGTGGTATCAACTAACAGGGGAATTTTAAGGATAATAATACTTCACCACGAATTGGCTGCAAAGTTTAACCTATTTCTGAATTCAAGATTTAACCTAATCAAGAAATGAAATAAATGCGAGGTTGCATTACTTATTCATGAGCATTCGCATGTGCAGTGAAATATCAGGTTCCACTCCACCAAGAACCCAATTGACGGCATCCTCAACATCCTCAGAAGGAGTTATAAGCACTCTCATCAGCTCCCCAAATACATTAGGCCGAGAATGGAGAACCTCTGGCTTTCCAAATAAAATAGAAGCAGCATTCCTCATCTCGGGGTGTATATTTTTCAAGAAAAATTGGGCTGCCACAGCATCATTTGTACCTTGGAACCTGCAGGATTAATGTTAATGATCATGTGATGATATCTGACGATGAGTTATCTAAAATTTGTCTCACTTTACCATATGATAGGTTGCTTCCATTTCCTCCAGTCACTACAAAGGACATTTGTCTGTGTTGGCTTCTCAAAGTCATCAGTCCTCATAATCAGTTGCCTTCCATACTTCTTAACACATTTATTAAGTCTCCACAGATGCTTAATTTCTCTCATGGTAAAGGAAATGTTGGAATAAGAAATGTAATCCCCGAAAGGGAATTTTCCCCTGAAATAAGCAACACTGATGTGAGCACAAGAAAAGGCATGAATTGCTGCAACTTAGTTATGATGATCCTACTTGTGTCAATGTGTGTTGGACCCCGTTATGTGGTAATGCTAAGGTAAACCATTGAATGAGTTGCGAAGAATGCATCCAAGGCACATGAAAAATGATTGAAGTGTAAAATTATAGGTTCCCATAACAGCACTGCTTCTGGGGCATTCTAATAAACATTCAAAGGAAGCTCTATATAACTTCTTCTTTTTTACAAGAAACAAGCAATATATAACATATAATAATATGGTTTAATGGTAAGCCAAAAGACCAAGGTTTTCAAACAATTCAGGTTACCGCAGGGAAAAAGAACTTATGAAATACAAGAAAAGAAAGGCTTGAGAAAGAACCAATATGCCTGGTTTGCCCAATGATCAGGGACCGGTTTAAAAGTATACTCAATGCTGCACCACTTAAAATTTTGTACATTTCATTCCCAAAACCTGCCTCTGATGCTTTACCCATCACAAAGCCATGCTGACAAAACTGTTCCGGAGGAAGATTTCGGACCCGGGAAGCACCTGAAATTGAATGAGTCGTATGAGCTTCCATCTCTCAAAAGTTCTATAGGATGAATCACAGGTTCCACACTCAAAGTAGGATGCTATGGAGTTTGAAAAAAACAAATAAGAAATTAAAAATCACTTTTTTTTCATAAGGATATCAGCAAATTCAGTGAAATATGTAGATTAAAATAACAAAAAGCTTGTATATGGAACAAGAATGTGAAAGATGGATAGCCTGACTGGGAGTAGTTGTGAGGAATAAATACACTAGATGGAGTCAGAAAATGGGCAGGCAAAGCATGAAAGTGCTAGTAGAATTGTTCAAGCAGAATCAGAGAACATAACCAAATGTGTCTCACACAAATGTAAAATCTTAAAAGAAGCTGAGAAATTAAGAACAGGACCAATTTCAATGTTCGGGACTATCACATGAATCAGGTAACATGTATATTACATTTAACACTAACAATCAGCCTAAAGAAAATGAGAATAGAAAAATACCATTCAAGTCAAAGTGATGTTGAATAAGTTTCCTGACTCTGAGACTTTCCTCCCAGAACCCTCCTTTGAAGTCCTTTCCCATCTCTTCCACCGTAGCACAGGAGTTGGATTTTCTCTTACTCTTGTTCTCAGGCTCGTCCTCAACCCCAACCCTACCACCGCTTTCAGACTCCGAATCCGAATTGTGAATTTGCATAGGGAAATCGGGGCTCGTTGGAGGATCAACTTGTCTTAAGTTGAGCATCAACAGCCCCATTCCAGCACACAATGCACACACTATCAGAATTGATCCTGCAGACACCCGTCTCCTTCTCCAAACACCATACCTCATCTTTTTCCTATCCTTTTCTGTGTGGCTAATGGATCTGAAGCCACAGATCGCCTGCCGACTACCTCTGCCTCTCGAGAAGCTCAGTTGCTGAAACACACACAGAGAGTGGCGAGTGTTTAGTGGATTTGGGTTGGGCCACCGTTGTTTTCTTTCAGGCCGTGCCTCGTGGCCCACTACTAAGTCGAGTAACAAATTCAGTCCATAGAAAATAAAAGAAAAATAAAAACAAAAAGGGAGCGAGCGAGGGAGACGTGGCGACCACAAAAAGAAGGTGGGGGAGGAAGGGAAGGCCAGTCAACGGTCAAAAATTCCAAAATTCTAACCACCAGTGCACAACAAACCAACAAACAAATAGAGTCCACCAAGCAAATTATAGCTCCCCTCCAGAAAATATTGCGTCCGTACATTCTCCCATGCCACCCTCTCTCTCGCGCCCTTTACAACGACCATTTCAATCCACACCTTAACAAAACACAAAACAAAATCAAAGCATCAAAAAAACAAAAAGAATTTTGTTATTATTTGCTAAAACCGAAACAAACCAAGAATGAAATGAACGGATAGTTATTCGGTCCTCATTGCATCTGTTTTTCTTCTTCATCAAACCCTCTCCCAGCTCCTCCTCCTCCTCCCATTGTGATCTCCATCCCACATATTCTCACAAAAGCAAAATGGAGAAGAACCTCCCAGAGAAGGATGATCAGCCCAAACTCGACGCACCGTCACCCGACTCCTCCGCTGCAATTTCAAAGCCTAATGACGATCACAAGTCCACAAGTGCAAAGCCTGAGGATGATCATAAGTCCACTGACACAAAGCCTGATCATGATGATCCCAAGTCCACCGCAAAGCCTGATCATGATGATCCCAACTCTACTCCAAAGGCTGATCATCATAATATTGATGATCATGATCATAAGTCCACTGCAAAGCCTGATGATCATAATGCCAATGTGAATCCATCCGAGACCGCGGTTCATCTTCATACCGACGGTGATGACCCGGATTATGAAATGAAAAAGCACCAAGATCCGAATGAGAATGAGATTAAGACTGAGAATGACGGTCAAAGCGATCCGGTAGTAGTTGAAGATCCAGTTCCTGAACCCGAACCCGAACCCGAACCAGAAGAAGATCCCAGCCTCGAGAAGGTGTCTGAAGACCTGGACCGCTGCATCTCGTCTCTGTCCAGCGAGAAAAATGAAAACGACGACGGCCTCAGCTTTCCGGAAGAGCTCCCTAAGCTGGTGGAAAAGTTCATGAATCTGGTTGAAGATGAGGTCATAGCGAAACGCGACTCGGGGGAGAGCAAGATCAAGTGGTGCCAGGTACCAGAGGAGGACGCGTCGTTCTTGGAAGCTCTGGATCGGATAAGGAGGCTGAGCAAGTATCTGTCTTTCCTTGGATTGAAATTCGAAGAGAGTCACGGCGCATTGATCAACCGCCTTGGAAGCATTCAGCACAGAGCCTTGTTGTATCTCGAAGAAGAATTCAGAATGCTTCTCGAAGAATCTAGACACTGCACAGAGCCTAATACTCCCTCGGCTGGTGATAAAGACCACAACAGCCACGGCAATAAAGGCGGGAATAATAATAAGCAGCAGCAGGATCCAGAACAGGACCGCTGCATGTTGCCGGACTATTCTGAGTCACGCGGCGGCGGAGATCAATTACAAGCTGATATTTTTCTTGGATACGCTCAGGAGGTGGTGAACAATCTGTACAAGATAGCCAAGGAGATGATATCAGGTGGATACGAAACTGAGTGTTGCGAGGTTTATACAATCTCGAGGAGGCTTGCGTTCGATGAGACTCTGCACAAGCTGGGCTTAGAGAAGCACAGCCTCGACGACATTCAGAAAATGAACTGGGAAGCGCTGGAGAGAGAGGTCGTGTCGTGGATCAAGGCCTTCAAGGAATGTGCCGCCGTCTACTTCTCCGGCGAGCGCAAGCTAGCCGAGGTCGTGTTCGCTGACTACCCTTCCATCTCATCAAGCCTGTTCAGCAATCTGACGAGAGGAGTGATCATACGGCTCCTGAATTTTGCTGAAGGGATTGTGATATCGAAGCGGTCGGCGGAGAAGCTATTCAAGACGCTGGATATGTACGAGGCCTTGCGCGAGGTGGTTCCAAAAATGGACAATTTGTTTCCCGTGGAGTGCGTGAACGAGCTGAAAGCGGAGACCACCACGGTTCGGAGCCGGCTTGGGGACGCGGTGATTTGCATTTTCTGTGATCTGGAGAATTCCATTAAGGCTGAGACCGGGCGGAACCCGGTCCCGGGTGGTGCGGTCCATCCGTTGACTCGTTACATGATGAATTACCTGAGGAACACGTGCGAGTACAAGGAGACGCTGGAATTGGTGTTCAGAGAGCACTCGAAGATCGAACGCGCCGACTCAACGAGCAGGCCCGATCATGACTACGAGGCAGGGGAGGGAATGTCGTCGGGGAACGCGAACGAGCAGAGCGACCACCAATCTCCGTTCTATTTGCAGCTGATGCGAGTGATGGACTTGCTGGACTCGAATCTGGAGGCGAAGGCGAAGCTGTACAAGGACTCGGCGTTGAGCTCCATCTTCATGATGAACAACGGCCGCTACATCTTGCAGAAAATCAAAGGGTCGACGGAGATAAACTCGTGTATGGGGGACACGTGGTGCAGGAAGAGGTCGTCGGATCTGAGGCAGTACCACAAGAACTATCAGAGAGAGACGTGGAGCCGGCTGTTGCAGTGCCTGAGCCACGAGGGGCTGACCGTGCACGGGAAGGTGGCGAAGCCGGTGTTGAAGGAGAGGTTCAAGAGCTTCAACGCCTTGTTCGACGAGATCCACAAGACGCAGAGCACGTGGGTGGTCAGCGACGAGCAGCTTCAGTCGGAGCTCAGGGTTTCGATATCGGCGGTGGTGATTCCGGCGTACCGGTCGTTCTTGGGGAGGTTCTCGCAGGTGCTGGACCCGGGGAGGCAAACAGAGAAGTACATCAAATTCCAGGCGGAAGATATAGAGACGTACATTGATGAGCTATTTGATGGAAACCCCAATTCCTCCATATTCAAGAAAAAACCATGAAACCCTTCTCCCCTCAGATAGTTTTATTATGAATTGAAGCAGGTAGCGTAGTCTGGCCTAGCCAGGCGCGCATCAACTGTAACTCAAGGCTCAAGGCTCAAGGCTCGTGAAGTTAGCAGACAATCGGTTAAAGGAGCTAGCGAGATCAGGTGTAATGCATGTGTATCGAAGATCATAAATAGGATCATGTGATTATTTTGCTGAAGATCAGATCAGGTGAAAATGGCCAAAATGCTCAGAGCCTCATTGATTTGGTTCTGGATTTTAAAAATTCTTCTTTTTCTTTTGTTTATTAATCTTGCAATGTTGTGTGAACATGCACATTGATTTCTTTTGTTAAATACTGATCCAATTTCTTTCATGAAACCGCTTCATTGATTTGTTTATAATCAATAATTATAACCCTTTTGGTTTCTGATATGATTAATTAATTTTATCATATGTATTTCTAGTTCCTTTTTGGTGGAATATATTTGTAGTTCCTCCTTCCCTTGTTACAATATATATATATATATGTATGTATGCGTGTATGTAAAAAGTAATCAATCAGGCTCCTTGCATCCAGAACTATACATGATCAGACCAAAAAAAAAAAAAAAATATACATGCATGAATTTTTTATGACTGTCTAGCTAGTACAGCACAAACAACCATACAAGTAATAATGCAGAAACCAAAAATTATTAAAGATGATCTTGGTGATTGACTAAAAGGAGAAACGGAATCCAAGGTACCGTTTCCAATGGATTATGTGTCCAATGTGGAACCGAAAGAACCATGAGGGGGGGTGGAAGGCCAAAATGGTCTTGGACTAAAGGAGAGAGAAGGGATTTTAGAAAAGGGAGGGGTAATAATTGGGTGAAAATGAAGCACAGGGGAGGGAAGGGAACTCCTAATTTTTCTTCCCACAAAAGGTGATCTCTTTCTTTGATGGTCTGAAATTCAATGAGTTTAGGCTGTAGATGCAGAGATTGGCTTGTTTTGACTTGACTGCTATTTCATCTGACGTGGATTTGTAACCAGGAACATTGCATGCTGAAGATGAACTCCACATTAAGGTTGCCTGGCAGGAAGACACTATTGCTGAATCTTGTGCACACTTGATCCCCTCAACAGCTGGGATTTCCAACTTGTAGACCCCATATTTGTTTGTAGTTCTGTTCACTGAGAATGATATATGTTCTGAGGTTCTTGGTGAGACTGCTTGGAATATGCAATCTATTTTAACTTCAGCACCTGCTGGAAATCTATTTTAACATCACTTTTAAACAAATAATTAAGCAATATATATATATATAGCTTTACAATAGTAGTATGTATGAGTAATGAGAGTTGAGAAATGTGACCTGGTATGAAGTAGCTGTGTCTGGAGAAGGTGTTGTTGGAGCAGATGTCACAATAAACAAGACCCATTACAATAATCTGGGACCGGGTGGTACCTTTTACTGGTTTAGCTTTTGCTGCTTCAACTCCCAAATATACTGACTGGAAAAACAAAGATGAAATAACCAAGAGAACTAGTGGATTCATGGCAACAATGGATCAGATGAGAGAGAGAGAGAGAGAGAGAGAGAGAGCTAGGAATACTGAGGATGAAGAGTTTGCTTATTCTGTGAAAAGCTTTGGGAGTATTATCACATTGTTGAAGATGAGTGTATTGTGTGGATGGTGAGTGAGAGCAGTAGATGATGGATATCCAACTGTAAGCAAAAAGTTGGGGACATTTTATCATTTTCACTACAAACATAGACATGTGAATGTCATTTGGCAAGATGTGTAATTGATGTGTAGGGGGGAGAGAGAGAGAGAGAGAGAGAGAGAGAGAGAGAGTATAGTATTTTATTTATGCAAAATAAAATTCGAAAACATCCAATAACACGGAAGCTCATTTTATTTATGCAAATACTATTAGTCTGTCTAAACTACACCGCAACAATGGACAGGACAGGACAGGACAGGACCACAGTTCACTAAACAAAGTGAAGGTGAGGTCAATCCAAAATACCGTACTTATGGGCTTTAATTAATTCAAAGTCCCTAATCTGAATCTCATCTCTCTTTCAAGTTTCAACCCAACATCCATAGCAGGACAAGACCCCACATTTATTTTCAGGGCCCATGAAATCAAATTCAAATATCCAATTGCAGGAGTCTGTTGGGTCCCGGCTGAATTATTTGAAGCCCAATGTGGGATTTGCAACAGACAGAGTTGACAATTATTTCAATAAAATTGATTAATACAGATTCTAGTTTGACCTGGCCATATGCTTGGGCAGAACATAGTCCAAGCCAAGCCAGCGGAGCAGACCATAC